ACAGGTACATACTGAAAAGCCTTTTTCCTTTTAAATCCATGTCTTCCTCCTTAAGACAGGAAGTGGAGCAGATACATGATATTTTCCTGTCTTCAACTCTCAGTAAATCTAAAGCTTGCAATATACACTCGGGATATGTGATGGGTACTCTGTCATGAACGCCTTCCAGCTAATCAGAAGAGACTGTGTAGCAGCTTAGCAGACACTGTTGGCACTTAAGTTTTCCAAGATGCTGATGGTGTGTGTAAAACATACTCTCATAAATTAAATCAGTCCTTACACATCATAAGCAGGGTCACGTCTCTCAAATCTTTGACCGAGTGAAGGGAATTTAGTTGAATAATTTCACTAGACGGAAGCAAGGAGACATCGTAGTCATAAAGTTAACTGATCGGATAGCTCCAGGCTCCAGACTATCATCAGCTCTCTTCAAGCAACAAATGAGGGATAAGAGGCATCCCCGCTTTGTGAGAAATGTTGAGTTTGACATTAAATCTTTCAACTTGAGAGGTAATCAGCCAGTATCTCTCTTTCTGCACCACATGGTGTAATTTCAGACCTATCTGCCCTACTTTGATCATCCTCAAGTGGTAATATAGACCTACTGCCACTGATGAAAGACAGAGAGCGCGAGCAAGAGAGCAAAGAGAGGAGAGTGAAATCTAACCAGTGATGTTTCGAGCTGGCTCACAGAAGCGTGACAGGGAAGATCAGGCCTGTCATTCAGTAGCGGACACACAGATGAGTATGAAGATGAGCTCCCTCTCTTGCTTTTTCTGACTTTCTATGAATATCACTTATCTGGCCTTTGCTTCTTCCCCTCCGAGCTTCATAATCACATCCGAAACACTTTCCGATTGCTCCTGACAGCCCTGCACTGCCTGCTATTTTGCTGAGCATAAAAAAAGGTGACATGTGCCATTTCAGTCTTCTAAAGCTACTCCGTAAAAGCCAGCTGACTTTGAATGAATATAACTGCTGCACACAGATCTTCAATGATGTTTAGTGCTCAGATCTTCAATGTTTTATTCCCCTTAAGTTGCTCAACCACAATAGCTTGCTGGCATATTCTGAGGAGAGAGCATAAACTGTCACAAGGCAAATCCTCAGTGGAGATGCTCCATTTTTTATCTGTGTTTCCCCTAAAACTGTCTTGCCAGTAAAATCATCTCAGCAGTTAGATCATCTTTGTCTCTGGGAAAACAATGGACGCTAGATGCTTTTAAGAGCTGCTCCAAAAAGGATATTTTAGCCGTTTCAATCCTCAGTACATGAATATATTCATGGCTGCACTGGCAGTATCTTAAAAACAGCCTCAAACCAAAAAAAGCAGACCTTTGATTTAAAATATTTGTTTTTTAATCAAAATTGTCTGATTTGTGTTACCTGAAAATGTTTCCAGTAGCAAAGAAAACTAAATGAACAAATTAAGTGTTCAGTTGAGATTAGGGCTGCCACAAA